ATGTTAAGAATTAGTAAGTGGCATAGCTGAGATTAGAATCCAGATTTTAAAATGTACTACTTGGAAGGCTTTAAAGGTTTCTCCCCAGGTATATACCGTTGTCTTTAAACTGTATGTATTCTTTTCTCTTGTTTTTGTTTTTCCCAGTTGTTTATCTTTTACTTTACTTTGCAAATGGCCCTGCCATTTACTCAAGTGCTTCCTTAGAAAACTGTGGAGAATTCCAGGAGGCCTTGCCTTTTCTTAACCTCCCATATCTAACCAGATGCTAAGTCTAGTCAAGGTCAGAACTTGACTTCGCCCTCTTAGTGGAGCTCAAGTTTAGCCCACCTCTTACTTGTGTAATTTTAGAAGTTGTTTAGCTTTTCTGAGCCTTAAAATATCTCACCTATAAAATGGGTAATAATTATATCTATTTCCTTTTGGGTTCTGGGAATTGATCTCCATTCAGATAATGGGTTAGCATATGATATATGGTAAATATTATATATATATTAACTTATTATTACCCTTATTAGTAAGTAGCTTGGGTCAGGGGCTTTGTAGTAAAACATAAAAAGTAGAATGATTGCAAACCATGTGACCTAGATATTAAATATCTTGGTGAATCAATTTCTTAACTATAAAATGGAAGTAATTAATAATTTCACTGTTGAAGATCATTGTTTCAAGTAGTAATGACAATCTTGAAGTAGTTGCTGTGAGAGTTAAAAGAATCCCTACTAAAGATTTCTTTGTCTGGCGTATCAGAAGCATGTGTTCATATTGATATTATCATTTTCAGGGAGATGACATTAGCGTTCCCTTTATTGTTAGCCTGAAGTATGCTTACTATTGCTACATCTGACTTCTTTGCCTAGCTAAGTTTTTGCTAATGTGACTTTCTCTCTTAAACAGTGTATTGAAAATGTCTCCCGGCAGAATTGTCCAATATGCCTGGAGGTAAGCTCAAAATGCAGCTTGGCTTTTACTTGGGAAATCTTACCTTTTGGATTTAAAATATTTTGGCATTTTATGGAGTTTTCATATGAATTCTGACGTGTCTTCCCGTCACAGGACATTCACACATCTCGAGTTGTTGCTCATGTCTTGCCATGTGGGCATCTTTTACACAGGTAAAGTGCGTTTGGTTATTTTCCCTCAGTGGTATTTAAAAATGGAGGTAGTTTTTGCCCTACTAAAATAATGCTGTATTTTCTTTCAGGACATGTTACGAAGAAATGTTGAAAGAGTGAGTGTTTGGTGGGATTTTTAAAATTTCTGTGTTTAAGATGTCTGCATTTTTGGCCTGATTTTGTCTGTTGGGAGGTGGGTCGACACTACGTCTGTCACGCTGAGCGGGGTGAGATTTATATTGAGATGGGGGGGGGGTGTAAGTAGGGCATTAACTGGCCAAGACCTCTTAGGTAGTTACGTAGCTGTACTTCCATCCCGCTTTTCTGTAATCCCTGATGCCACCCCTTAGTGTGGATGGCTATTTCTTGTTTTCTGGCCAGATTTGTGAGGGAGGACCGAGTCTGCCAGCAGCAGTCATAGCCTTGTGATACCACTGAGGAATGTGGCCACAGTTCTCCTAAGATCTGATATTGGCACAACAGCGGACGATAGTAAAGAGGTTATCGAAAGCTAATAATTAATTGGGCAGGAAAGCTGTTAACGTGATATGAGAATAGTTAGGAAAGAGGAGACTCTGTAAATGTAAATTGATGAGCAAAAATTTAAATTTGATCTAAGAGCCAGATAAGAGAGGAACTGTTTTAGAAAGGAAAATTAATGTTTGAACATTTTGTATAGAGAAAACAGTCTTGTATAAATGTATTAAGAAATTGAGGTTGTTTAGCTAGGAAGTAGCTTTTTAAAAATACTAACTATGCTCTACAAAGAATATGGATTGATTCCTCTACATTTTCGAGGAACAGAGGAAAAAGAAGCTGGTTTAAAATATGCCATCAGCTACAATATAGATATTTAGTTAAAGCCTTTATATTGTAAAGGTTTCCAGGTTCCTAATAGGCTTTGGATGATTTATATGCCAGTTAGTCTGTGTCTCCTGTATCACTTAGGTGTTGCATGCATCAGTTGGTATTTGGAAAATAACCTTTTAATCTCTTCTAGAGGCTACAGGTGTCCGTTATGCATGCACTCAGCTTTAGACATGACCAGGTTCTGGAGACAGCTGGATGACGAGGTGGCCCAGACTCCCATGCCATCCGAATATCAGAACATGACTGTAGATGTGAGTAGAACATGTATTTTAAAGTTTGCGGGTTACTTGTTCATATTCGTGTTCGTGTTCATTTCTGATGCTCAAATTTTGTCTAAAATGACTGCTTTAACAGATGTGAATTCATGAGGCGGACAGAATAATCTTTAAATTTCGGTTTCTTTGAGGTAGGGGTGTGTGGGGATGAAGGTAGCGGTGTTTGGGGATCCTGATGCCTTTGTATAGTTCCCAGCAGTAGGTGGCAGGAACAGCTTTCTTCTGAACTATTTATACATTATTTGCCAGAGCCAATAATGTAGCTGAGTGGAGGTGGATCCCTGGTCTGATGTTTTATTTAAATTATGTTTTATTTCACCAAAATATATGTTTGTGGATTGTTGAAGACATTGTTTTTTGTTTGTGCATGCTTATGACCCTTCTGATCGTAGCCTAGCTTGCTTTATCTGGTCTTGGTTTGCCTCCCACCTCTGGGGGCCTTGGCGGCACAGTAGTTAAGTGCTGAGTTAGTGAAAAGTCTGCAGTTCAGAGCAGTCACTCTGGGGGAGAGAAGACATGGCTCTGGTCTCCTGTACAGATTATGGTTTAGGAACCCCTCTGGGAAGTTCTCCTTAGTCTTGTTCGGTCACTGTGAGCTGGAGGCAACTTGATGGCCCACAACAATAGCCCCCAACAGACAGTACAGAAAGTACTGTGCTATTTGCTCCTTTTTCCCATTCATTGAGAGCTGTTGATGTCTGTGCTTGTGTTATAGATCAGGATTGAAAAGCTAGATTGCTTTCTTGGGTATGTTACCATTTTTGGACAGATGAGGGTAACTAAAGTCTTATTAGTAGGGTCCATACATTTATGGTTTTATTTCAGACACAATGTGTTGAAACATCTATCTGATCAGTGGATCACTGTAGACAGGTTCTTTCAGAAGTGCACTTAGTCTCGTGAGGCTGCCCTCTAGTGGTATTCAGGGGGATTTGCTGGGCCAAGCATAGAGGCACCTGAGAAGGTTATGACAACAGTTTTTGGAATTCTTGAGAAATGTTTTTGAAGGAAATAGGACAATCCAGGTGGCATAGTGACTTATGCGTTAGGCTGCTGTGTTAGGCTGGGTTGTCTACAGATACAAAATCAGTGATACACATAAATGTATAAGAAAGAAATTTATATTAAGAAGTAATCTTATACCAAGAAGGCAGCCCAACTCAGTCCACCTGAAGTCCATGGCCCGATGCTAGCCGGGGCCTCGTCAGACTCATGTAGCTGCAGGCAGTGATGCCAGAGGGGAAGCAGTGGGTGCAGAGTCATGGCTCCAAGGTTTGTGGGAACAGGGCAGGGCAGAGACAGCTTGGAGATCATATGGCAGGGTTAGTGGCCTGGAGCCAGGCACAGAGTGCCAGCAAGTAGGAAGGCCAAGGGATAGAAAGGAAGGACCACCCTCCCAGGAGGCATCATCAGACTGACCTGATTGACAGGTTAGACTCCACCCCTACACAAGTGCAAGTTGACATAAAATATTACTGCCACAGCTACTAACCGAAAAGCCAGTAGTTCAAAACCATCAGTCACTTTGTGGGGGAAAGATGAGGCTTTTTACTTCTATAAATAGTTAGTTCCCAAGCCTACTGAGGCAGCGCTATCCTGCCGTATAGGGTGCTGTGACTTGGAATTGGCTCAGTGACAGGGAGGATGCTGATGAAGTTGTCAGAAAATTGTGAGAAAAAGGGCAAGAAAGTTATGTGGAGGAAGTTTTTCCTGTCACGACACTGCACCTGTTTTTTGAGGGTAGCAAGGGGTGTCCTATGAGAATTTTGTTGGAAAACATTCCTTCCTCCACCCCACAGCCTTGATCTTGCCCCTTCAGACTTCTTTTTATTGCCCAAACTCAAAGAACAAGATAAAGTGGGGGTATCTGCTTTTGCAGCGGCCCTGCATCGTTCAACGCCACCCCCAGGGGGTGGTGCCCCTGACTCTGGGGAACTAAGAGCAATATTTTAGGAAAGGCATACGGTTCGGTGGTTTTGAAATACAGTTGTAGAGTTGTGAACATTTTTAGAACAGTTTTACATCTCCAGAAGAAACCCACAAGCATTTCTTACCATCACTTCGCACTGCTCTAGCCAGAGCAGCGACCGATGGAGCGTCTTCATGCAGAGCAGCGGTTCTCCACCGTCCTCTCACACAACCCTGTAATACAGATCCTCCTGTGGGGGTGACCCCCAACCACAACATTATTTCCGTGGCTACTTCATGACTGTCATTTTGCTACTGTTATGAATCATCATGTAAATATCTGATAGGCAGGATGTATTTTCATTGTTACAAGTTAAACATAATTAAAGCATAGCGATTAATCACAAAACAATATGTCATGATATATTGTGAAATATTTATTTCCAATGACAAGTAAATGAAATGTTGTCTTGAAGCATGGTGTAGCATGGGTAACAGTCTTCACGCCAGGTATTAATATATGGGTGTATCTGCATGTGGGCGGACCTGCCCGGAGACGGATAGAGGAACGGTGTTTCGGTTCCTAGGACCATTAGAAACATGTGTTTTCCACATAGGTGACCCCTATGAAAGGGTCGTTCGATCCCCAAAAGGGTTGTAACCCACAGGTTGAGAATTGCTGATGTAGAGAATTGTTTTAGAAGATTTGTTGTCCAAATTTAATTTGGATTTTTTCTGCTTTTCTGTGAGTATTCTAAAGCTAGTGCTCTTCTTTCATAAAACTAATGCTTTTCTTCCATAGTACAGGTGTAGTCTATTTTTTGGTTAAAACCTCTTATTTTGCAGGATCTCTATTCAAGAAGAGATTGACTTCTAACTGACATATCTCACATATTTTAGGAATGAACCAACAACTTCTTTTTGCTTAATTTTAGGAACTATTCACTTTGGACTTTAATTTATTGTTAGCATAGGAAAAAGTAATTTAGTATATTTAACCTAAAGAGTAAGGGAAAATGTTATGTATATAAAAATCTGTTTGGAAGGCTAAAATAGATTTCTAAGTGTTGATGAAAAATATAGAAATTTATGTTTTTTTTATTGTAAGCCTTAGATGTTTATCTGTTTATGCTTAGAATAACTTTCTTTTTAGTATTATTTATACGATTTGGAAATGATTGTAAAATTAAGCCACTGGCTAAAATCTCCATTTTCATTTTTTAAATTCAAAGTTATTTTAAACGGCCTCTTGGAATTTTCAGTGAAAAAGTAAAAAGCATTTCTACTTATTGGAAGTGTTTAGGCATATAGTTTTATATTACCACATGTTCAGTATGATTTTTCAAGGATTGATTTGAGCAGACTATGCCACCTCACAGAGGGAACATTTTATGTACTTCACCTCAATGAAGGTTTCTACTTTTCAGATTCTCTGCAACGATTGCAATGGGCGCTCCACAGTCCAGTTCCATATATTAGGCATGAAATGTAAGAACTGTGACTCCTACAATACTGCTCAAGCCGGAGGACGTGGGATCTCACTAGATCAGCAGTGACCAGCCTGGACTACACTGGAAAAGCTAGCATTTCTGATACATAATGGGGTTGCCATAGTGTCCTGTTGTCATACCATGTCACAATCTGTGCATTAGACTTGGAGTGTTTTGTACTGTGTCACAGCATAAAATCATATTGTAAGTACTTAAGGATTCAGGGTCTCTGTAACTATCATAGCTCCATATTGCATGAAAGCCACTGCTTGTATTTTTGATTGGAAATTTCTTTAGTGTCAGTTATTTGGAAGCCAGTGATGTTTGCCATTGAAATTCA